TGAGCTGCTGTTTTCCATTTCTAACAACCACCTGGAACCTGGTTAGGCTACAACTCGTATTTGCAGACTGTGTAACATTTAGGACTTTCATATGAGTGATGCTGCTTCTCGTGAAATTGGGCCCACTCCAGTTTCTGGGGTATTAAAATGTATTTAATTGATTGCACTAGTTAATAATCTAAAGTGTAAGGCCTTCAGTTCAGCTCCTGAAGGCCCAATCAGTGGGAGAGCAGTATCTAGATACTGCAGTACAAAAAAAAATCTGATTGGACAGTTTTCTGTTGGTGTTTTCAAGATTTTAACCCAGACTTTTTAATGAAGCACAAGTATTACTACAGTATTTGCAGAGATTAAATACAGCAAGCATGACGATACTGTTAAATAAACTGGTAAATAAATTGACCCAGCAGTCACCAAATGGAATAGCTCAGACAAGGAAAGTAATTTTTCTCCCTCTGCCACGTTCCCAGCATTTAACCTCGCTCGTCGCTTGAGTGATGGGCCGACTAACTAACTCAACATCTACAGAATCTTTCTTCTACATGGCTGATATACATAATTCATAGATTTCACTACGGCACTATCAGTTAAAGTACTGCTTGATCCAGTCATGCTGCCGTTGCTTATCGACGCTATATGAAGGCTAGTAGCAGCCAATCAGCATCGTGCACGAGATAATGGTAACTGATCCATGCTAGCGTTGATTTACTGTTGAGCTACGTTAGCATTTTGAATAGAAATGCTTTTAACGAGGCATTAGCTAGCGGTTGTTAATAGCTGTGCTCTTTTGTGAAGAGAACAGTCACTGTAATGGAAAAAACAGCTGTGTGCTCTGAACTTTAGGCCTGTAGGCTGTTTTTTTCCAGAGGTACCGTCATAAACACAAGGACTACCAGACCTTTATGGCCATGGTTTGCGTAGAACAGTGTGAATTAAACCTGTATTGTAACTGGATTAAAATGCGGAACTCTTTTGTGTAGTTTTGCGTCCTTTTGTCACTTTACTGGTCAGTGGGAAACAAGCAGTTTGAAGGCAAATGTTAGCATAATTAAGTGCGATTGGTTGCGCTTTGCTAAGTGTCCGTTCACTTGCACAGGACCCTCGGCCCCTTGGGTTCCAATAGAGGGGGGCCACCCAGTAGATGTGTCCTTGAGAAAGTCATGAGAAAGGCTGGATTAAGTGCCCGGCAATAAACAGCACATGTGTATATCAGGCCGTGGCTAATGAATCCCACTCCATTATTTATTTCCCTCTGTCCATGCACCTGTGTATACAGACCATCTGTCTGCAATGACCTCTCTCTCTCTCTCTCTCTCTCTCTCTCTCTCTCTCTCTCTCTCTCTCTCTCTCTCTCTCTCTCTCTCAATGTCCCAGGAGTGGTCATTAGAACTGCAAGTCAACTTTGGACCCACAGACCAGGCTTTTTGTGTGTGCAGGCCTGTACGTGGGCTTATGTGAATGTGTTTTGCCTGTTCATAGGAGTGAGGCCTTACTGCTCAAGGACTTAACCAGAAATCCTCAGATCTCACACTGGTGGGATTTTCTTTTTACCAAAACCACTGTGGATAGCGCTGGGGGCTCCTCATCTGGCATGGAAATAGCCAGCGGTGATTCTGTGACTTGTAGAGATGTGGTGGCCATTGGGTAGCCAAGGCAACCTCAGGGTTAGGGTTAGGCTACCACTTGTATTTGCAGTGTGTCTCATATTTAGGACTTTCAGAAGACCTGGGTTGATTTTTCTCACAAAATTGGGCCAGTGCCACCTCGAACACCTCTCTGGCTTTCCCACTGGACAGAGCCTAGCTAGCCTAGCATTGTATGGCCACTACATTATGGTGCTGTGGGCAGTTACTGTTCATATGTCATCATACAGCTCCCACTGCTAACTGTGCTACATACTAACTCCACTAGCTTAAATGAGTGGGTTTTATTTGTTTGACATTCCCCGATACTTAGGTTATTGATTTTTCTCACAGAATTGGGCCCACCTATTGGACCCACTCCACTCTCAGTTCCTAATCATGTTTCTTTTTAAGCTATAGTGTAAGGCCTTGTGTCCATGATGGTGTTTTAGGATTTAAAAACCCTTTTGTTTCCAACCCAAACATCAGTACTGTAGAAACTGAGTGGCCATTGGGTGGCCAAGGCAAGTTTAGGGGGTCCAAAGTCCATAAACCCAAAAATATTTCAGAAAACATGACGGTTTTCTTTAATACTGGAGAGCAGTGGAACATTTACTCACCACTCATTGCAGTATTAGCACAGCCCCATACACAACAAGTCCTACATGCACTCAGTCACAAATATATATTCTTATTTTTTTTATTTACAGTCCCTTAAGTTCTAGGTATTAACCAGGCAAGTGTAAGGTTCAATTTCCAAAGTTGTAGGTTATTATTTTGGGAATTATGATGGTAAGTTCCAATACAGTCTACATAAATTACACTGAAACGCCCAACAGGTTCCAGCTATTATATGAGTAAGAGAGTAATTTTGGGATTATCTATAATCTTTAAAAGAACGTAAGGAACCTGGGCAACTTGTTTAGGTGTACTGTTTTGGTACTTACAAAATTTTAGCCTAATGAGGCCAAATTTAGCCAAATTACTCGGTTAATATCTAAAACCTGTTTGGCACTTCATTGTAATTTAGTTCAACTGTCCTAAAGCATATTATGTAAATAAATATCTAGTGCTTTGGAATTTGTATAAAAGGATTCTCAGCCAAAAAAGTTTTGAGGTGGCCCCCAGGGTGGCCAGTCAGATTTCATGCGTAGCCAGTGCCACCCCGAACACCCCTCTGGCTTTCGCACTGGACACAGCCTAGCATGAACCTTCGCTTCTGCTGGACTGTGTGGCCACTACATTATGGTGATCGGTGCTGTGGGCAGCCACTCTTCAAATGCCATCATACAGCTCCCACCACCAGCTGTGCTACATGCTAACTCTGCTACAAGTCTGCTAGCTTAAATACCTATATTAATGACCCCCACAGTGGGGGGGCTCTGCAGTAAGGGGTGTCAGGGCTGTCTCTACTCCTAATCCCCACATCAAACTAATACTACTGTGTGTTTGACGTGTCAGAAAGGTGCAGCCAGTCGCCCAGCAGGGTTAGATGGCTATGATGTCCCTTGTGTAAAATGCACTTTTGTGGGTGCTGAGAGTAGCCCGACTTGTGATAGTAGAAGTTACCACTTTAGAGTAAGACTACTGAAAAGGCTCTATGAATGGTTTAAAATGAGTTTTTGGTTATTAATTAGGTCAAAAACTGTAAAAATCATTAATAAACAGTCATAACACAAATTAAAGAGGCCAGCAGTGACTTTCCAAATACTGAGCCCACATTCATCCATACTGTTACACCTCAGATCTTGCACGTAACTTATCTTACTTTGCAAAAATGTAACATTACAGTACTTCAAAAAGTTTTCACAATACACGATAGATATGATAAACTGGAAAAATACAGTGAATGCAGTGATTTATAGTCAACAATTCACTCACTGTGCTGCACTTAATCCAGTAAAACGGGACTAATTAGGCTCTGTGCAGTCAGACATGCAGTCGGGATGCATGTTTAAGTACTGACCATACTTACGATATGCTCAGAAAAACATATTGTGGTGTAATTTATCATGCTAACAGTAAATATTGTCTCATTGTCCAGCCCTGTTACTTTTTCTTCTCTGTCTGTCAACAATTTATGTCAACTTCATCCGATACTCACATTCATCAGATATACAAGTTCACTGTTGCACTTTTTTATGTGTTATACCTGCTTATTTTTGATTTGAAGGTGTTTATGACCTAATTAATCACCATAAATGAGCTAATTCTAAACCATTCATAGAAAGGGTAGCCTTATTGTAAGGCAGTAAAATTACTACATTTATTAGTATGTGCGTAGTGTGATATTCTGGACTGATGTTTTGGGATTTTACTTTTTTTACTTACTTATTTTTATAATCATTTTTTTAATAATCAAAAGTGAATTTTCAACACTGGTTATTTTGGCTTATGTTCAAATTTGATTGATCTACATGATGATTTGGCATATCTTTTTCATATTTCATATTATATGTTGTTTTTTTTTTTCCTAGGGGAAGAAATTACCATAGTGTTGAAAATTCACTACAGTTTCATATTTCGTATTGCTCTAATGTCGCTTTCTGCTAAAAGCAATTTAAAACCAGAAGCAACATGGTTGCTGGTTTAGAAGAACATCTCCAAGATAGTTTTGTTTTCGAGTGACTCGCGAGTGAAAAATGTGGCAGTACTATATTTTGTATGTGTCTGCTGGCATACCGCTCGCAGTAAGTGGCAGAAAGAAGACTCAGAACTGCTAAATAGCAACTGCTCAGTGTTTGGATGAAATGTGACTGGCTCAAACACATTCCTGCTCATACAAACATGCCTTATTCATCAGGTCGTGGATAATACCTGTCTACGTCACCTCTACAACAGTAGTATAAGTAGAACTCAAGCAAATAAAAGAAAGAAAGGACTGGAACTGGATGGCTTAATGTAGATGATCCATTAAAAAAATGCCTGGATTGGCTCTGGAATCATGGCATCCCGTATCAAAAGTACCAAAACCGTGTAACTGAACAATACCACCAGAACACAGGCCCATGTGACTTTCACATTCTCTTTCTTTCTCTCATTTTAAACAAACATGCACTCTGTATAATTGAATAAATTTGACTCGGGGGAGTCTGGAGATACAGACACAGATGCAGACATGTTGTTACATAGGTACTTGATTATTTACTGTAGGGCTCCTTGTTACGGATCTAGACTAAACATGCCCGAGGCCAAGCTAGCTTAAGTGCATGCAGGCTTGTGTCGCTTCAAGAACACTTAATATGCTTTAGGGAAGTTTGATTGTCATGTAACAGGATCCTGGAATCAGCAAACACTTGTGACCATCATGTAATCTCACTTCAATGGAAGCATCCCGACGGAGCGGGACTTCATTAATATTTGATGTTTCTCTTGCAGGGAACTGAATGGAAATAACTTCACCCGCATCAACAAGAATGACTTTGCTGGACTCAAATACCTCCGTGTTCTGTAAGTGCTTTTCTAATGCCCTTTACTGATGTACTGGAAAGACGTAGATTGCCGTTTAGATTCTTATAGGCTGTAAAAAAAATCATATGAGTATATGTTTATCATTCTTACACGCTTACATACGAAGGGGACGTCCACCTGTCTTTCACAAAGTCTGCAGAATTTGGTCGATAAGACGTAAACGGAGTCGTTCAGAGTGGTTTGGTGTGAAACGCTCTGTTGTAGAGAAACTTACCGAGTCAGAACTGTTCACAGTGGTGGTGATAGGAACCAGACGCCTGAAGGCCTCAAAGCTGCCTTATGTAACAGTTATTTCACAAAATCATAATGAGCTTTAAGACTTTTGGTCAAAAATGATGACAAAAACTCTTGTCCATAAATAAATAAATAAAAAAATAAAAATTTGGACACACTTGGCCAAAAGATGAGAACCAAAAGTCTATCGGTGGATAAAAAATACATAAAATAACCTTATTAACATTTATTACAGTATGTGCCATAAAATCTAACAAGAGACACTCTTAGCAAAAAGGGTTCTATATGGTACCAAAAAGGGTTCTCTGGCCTGTAGCAATAGTGGAACCCTTTTCCGTGCTAAATTACACCATCTACAGCACATTCTCCATCAATCTGAAGAGCCCTTTTGTGATGCATGTGAAATAAGGCAATAAATATTGTTATACTTTGCACTTTAGCTATCATAGCTTTAGATCATGGCTGATCAATATCACTGTTGACAATAAATATTGTCTTATTGCACAGCTCAAATTCAATATTTCACACACTGTGCTGCACTTAAACCCAATTAAACAAGCTAATTATACTCGCTTTGTAATCAAACTTATAGATGGGAAGGCTTTTTTTGCGTTTTATGATATTCTGATGATTTATTATGGTATATAAAGGTAAATATTGTTGTATTGCCCAGACATACACATCATGACCCCTGGTTCCTATGACCAGCACTATAAGGAAACTGAGTCAACAAGTTTCTCTACAATGAATCGTTTCACATCAAACCACTCTGAATGACTTTGTTTGCATCCCAGTGATTGAATTGTGCAAATTTTTTGAACAATCAGACTTTAAAACACTTAATCTGTGATGCTGTTTTATGGTCCCTTCAACATTTTAAAAATCTCCCTTCCAGAATTCTCTCTTTCTCACACATCCCAACACAGGAGGGCAAATACTGCCGTCATCTTGTCACAAGCAAGATGGAAACTCTCTACATGCGGCTTAAAATTGGGAGCTTGAGGTTTTCTGTCTGCCTGTTAACCCCCACCGCACACACAGACATAAGCTGCCTTTGCTCTCCCTAAGGAGCTCCGAGGTCTCCTTCTGGCCCCTGCAGTTCCAGGCGGGTTGTTAACATGATTAACATGGAAGCAGAAGAAGGTGGTGGGGGGGATCTCTCACGTTTCTGACCCCTGCCAGTCGGCCGCCTCACTGCAGAAACGGGGGTTGTGAACCTTTGCCCTCGACGGGGAAGGCACTTACAGGAAGCGCGGTTTATGCTTACAGTCACAGGGCCTCGCACAGACACTGAGAAAACAAAGAACGGTCGTTTCGGTCGTCTGCCTTCTAAATTCACGCTTGCCGTGGTTTTTGGTCTGAGGTGGCTCGCGCTCTTCTCCATTCATGTGGCCGAATCTGTCAATGAGTAAATTTGCAAATGTTTTAAGTTGGTTAAAACACAGATGTAAAAAAAAAAAATGCTCAGTACTGTGCAAAAGTCAGAGACCACCCATCATTTATTCCATTTCCAGTCAAAAGAGCTATTAAGTGGAGGGATAAGAGATGAGAAACACTGTATTCGACTAGCTTAGGAAAGGGGAAAGTCAATGGAAAGGGATTGAAAAAGCAGAGGTTTTCAAAACTACACTCTTAAAGAGGGTTCTTCAAGGGTTCTTTAGTACAGAAAATGGTTCTATATAGAACTGTGAACACTCAAAGAACCCTTTGCATGATTGCATTGTGAAATGGTTCTTCAGACTGATGGAGAAATGTGTTCAATATGGTTCTATACTGAACCTTTTTGAAAAGGGTTTCTTTATTGTTATGATGTCAAGCTTGTAAACCCCAAGAGAAAATGGGGATCCTAACAACCACCTGGAAGACCTGATGGACACCAAAACTGCCGCCATCAGATAAACAGCACTTAAAGCTTTCATCTTTGAGAGAGAGGAGAAAATCAAGCTGCTTCAGATCTGAAAACATCCACAGGTGTTTCTGTCCATCCTTCCACTGTGAGAAGACGACTCAGCGCTGTGGGTCTGAAAGGATGTGTAGCTGATCAAGAAGAACCTCACTGAGAAAAGGAGACGGACACATCAAACAAAGAAGCTGAACAATGGACTGACCACCCCAGAGTCCAGACCTCAACACCACTGAATGTGTTTGATTACTTCAGAAAATGATCAACCAGCTTCTAAGACTGAACTTTGGAAAGCAGAACTAAAAACGAGTGGAAGCTGTGATAAAAGTAAAGGGTGGACAAATAAGATATGTTTTGAAAGGCCATTTTGACTGGAAACTAAAAAAGAAGGGTGGTCTCTAACATTTCCACAGTACTGTACGTGCAAATGGACAAGGACTTTGTTCTCCACTCAGAATGTTTAGCTATGAGGTTCAATATTCCACTTGATTGTAGTTCTTTTTTGGGAAATAATGAGCAACATTCTCGGAAAGACTGTGCCTTCCGTCAAAAATCCCCATCACCTTTGGAGAAAAGCACCGCCTGTTTGTTTATTTATCCCTTTACTTATTTATGGTCTCTGATCTGTGATTTGCATTTGCATTTCATCCCAGGGAAATAAAAATACAATTGCTGGTTCTCATTTGAAGCCCTCAAAGGGGACTCGCTGTTCCATGAAAGCTGATTTTAATGAACAGCTCTTTTGTTTTTCCTCAAAGCCAGGACGCATGTCTCCCAAGGTGTTGGATTGTACTGCTTCCAAGGCATCCTTTTTTATTTTTCTTATTTATTTACTTATTTATTTATTTGGTCCACATTTTGGCAGTCCCCGTGATGAACTTGTTTGTACTCAGTGTTGAAGGCCCATGTTCTAGCCTGTGGTTCAAGCCTCTTGCCCAAACAGCAAATAAGTGACTTCAGTTTAGAGCTTTCAGCCACAGTGGTAACCCTCCCTTCTGTCAGCCAGGGCCCTAAACATCTCCGAGCACGCTGGCCTCCATGGTTCACACCCCAGACCTCTGTTCAATCAATGAACCTAACACTCTCCCAGACCACACCAGCCTCCCCTCTGGCCACACACTACCGCCACAGTCTCACTGCCCTCCCCAGCACTTTTCCTTGCCCACTTTCCTGGCTGGACTCCCTCTGCTCCGACACCCCATTTGCCAAGATTCCACCAGCTTCTTCGGACCACAAAATGGGTCTGTCGGCCCTTAAAGAGCGCCGCAGGCTGGGACCAAACCACCCAGGCCGTGCCCCAAACATTGCCAGTCACAGCAGTGACCGCTATGGCCAACAATTTAAATCACATTATCATTAAGATTACTGACAGTTTCAATATACACCCAGTAGTCACTTTGTTGGGTACATTGTTTCTATACTCACTGTCCATTTTATCAGCTCCACTGACCATATTGGACACTTTGTGGTTCTACGGTTACAGACTGTAGTCCATCTGTTTCTCTGCATATTTTGTTACCCTGTTCTTCAATGGTCAGGACCCCCCCAGGACCCCTAACCCTAACCCTGGTGGGTCATTCTCAGCACTGCAGTAACACAGATATAGAGGTGGTGTGTTAGTGTGTGTTGTGCTGGTGCGAGTGGATCAGACACAGCAGTGCTGCTGGAGTTTTTAAACACCTCAGTGTCGCTGCTGGACTGAGAATAGTCCACCAACCAAAAATATCCAGCCAACAGCGTCCTGTGGGCAGCGTCCTGAGACCACTGATGAAGGACTAGAGGATGACCAACACAAACTGTGCAGCAGCAGATGAGCCATTGTCTCTGACTTTACATCTACAAGGTGGACTGACAAGGTAGGAGTGTCTAATAGAGTGGACAGTGAGTGGAAGCAGTGTTTAAAAACTCCAGCAGCACTGCTGTGTCTGATCCACTCGCGCCAGCACCACATTAGCACACCACCACATGTCGCTGCTGAGAATGATCCACCACCCAAATAGTTCCTGCCCTGTGGGGGTCCTGACCACTGAAGAACAGGGTAACAAGGTATGCGGAGAAACAGATGGACTACAGTCTGTAACTGTAGAAATACAAAGTGTCCAATATGGTCAGTGGAGCTGATAAAATGGACAGCGAGAGTAGATCCAAATTAGGGGTCAGTAACAGTGACAGTAATTTGCACTTCCATTCTTCCTCACAGTTTTGTGGCCAAACTAAGATGACCATAAACTACAACCACAAATTTACTGAACTGTGCTATTATTATACTCGTTTATTTTAACTCACTGTCACTATGTTTGCCCCTACATCCGCTTCAGTGTTAGGAACCATAGCAAAAAAATATACCAGAAGAAAGTGTTGCATGAACTCTGTAAGAAAACAGATTTAACCATTTACTCAGGTGTGGAAAACAAAGTCTTATGCCACTGGCACAGTCCTGTAATGCAGAAACTCTATACTTCTAGTCAGCAAATGTCAGTTTCAATCAATATTTGGAAAAATGACAGTCCAGTACAGTACCTTACAGTGTCTTCTCCCCTCTCTTCCACAGACAACTGATGGAAAACCAGATTGGAGCCATTGAGCGAGGGGCCTTCGACGACATGAAAGAGCTGGAGAGACTGTAAGTGCTCAGAAGTTGCTGTCTCATTTTAGCGCTCTTCCCATTTTTTGCTCAGATCAGGTCTCTGAGATGTCTGTTCACATATCTCACATATAAATGACCCCTAGCTGTCATTAATGTGAACCTACTTCTGCCATGAAAGGAACTGCAGGCACGTTAGCATCACGTTAGCCATTGCTGACATGCTGGCGACACTGGATGATGACGACAGTGTTCTGATAATTCTTGTTACGGTTGCATACATTGGAAAAGCAGATTCCTTAGGCAAGATTTAGGCAAAAACTTGGAGTTGTGCCACTTTAGCCCTGTAACGTGAACACAGTAAGGCTGTCAAAGGTAGCAGTAAATTATTAGCGTGCTAAATTCTAAATGGCACAATTTGTTCAGCACTCTTAACGCACTTTGACCCTCGACCCATCCATTGTAGAACAGGATGAAGCCCAGCTGCTTGAGTGCGGCATGTTGCTATGATAGAACCCACAATTGTAGCCCTTTCATTCAAATGCAGCATTTAAATGACAGTGAGAGGCTACAATCGTTAACTGTATGTATTTTATATATATATATATATATATATATATATATATATATATATATATATATATATATATATATATATATATATATAGTATGTATGTGTGTGTGTGTATTTGATTTTTGAAACGAGGCCTTAGGCTTAGCGTTGTTACGAGCGCCCTGCAAACAAGACACCAAACATACAGAGCTCACTGACTTACACCAGCCTTTCAGGAACCCAACCAAGAACACATGGGGCAGGAAACCTTAGACTTAGGGTCATTACAAGCACCCCGCAAACAAGATGCTAATCACACGCTCGTAAGTCTTTCTGGCTTGAGAAGCTGCAAAAAAATCCCTACCAGAAATTTGTAGTCACGGCCGCAAGTCGGGTCCAGGCGTGCGCCCGCTGCTGAAGCGAAGGAGCCACATCAGAGGCGCGCTCCTGTTGTGTGGCGAGCGATTCAAGTTAGGAGAAAGGCCGTACGCTCGCAGCTGCTGACTTTAATGTGCAACATGTGATGTTATCCCCCTCATATCATCTGCTCTCTTCAATAGTTCCCCAAAATCAATAGCTCTTCAAGTTCCATATGTTTTTTTGCTTTACTCCATGCGGTCTCGTTTGGTAATTAGTCCCAATCTGTCCCCAATTTCGCTAATTACCCCACCCGCTCCACGTCGCACCTATCGGTGCTTTGAGACGTCTGAATAGCTTTAGCATGTTCCTCACCACGGTTTAGACAGCTGCCTTTTATATTCGGTAGTACCCACAAACTGTTCTCCATGTGGATATGCCAGGCGCGCTTCAAAAAAGGTTTTGTTTTCCTTGCTGTTTACTCGCTCCATGTTTACTGCGATGATTTTAATTTTGCTTTTTTTCCCCCCCTTTTGTCTATGACAGACGGCTAAACAGGAACCAACTCCACCAGCTCCCAGAGCTACTGTTCCAGAAGAACGCTGCTTTGTCACGACTGTGAGTTGCCGTCTTTCCTCTATGATGTGCTTCGTCCCGGCCTTTTCTTTTGGGTTTTTTGATACCGCTCAAATGTCAATGGCTTGAAATGTTGTGGCACATTACGAGAAGACTTGTGATTTGCAAGCTCATGCTGGTTTTTGTGGTAACATTTTGGATAGGTATGGCTGAGTAGAATTTTAAGAGGCGTGGAGTGCTTTGTTTTTGTACGCAGATTGGATTCTGCCAAATCATGCGACTGCGCGTCTGGGAGGGTTGTGAATGCAGCTCTATGGCAACGTGGACTTGCTCGAGGAGGTCATAAAGTTTGAGGGCACTTCATTCTTCATGGTTATGAATGTTTTCATTGATGGGAAACATTTGGGGTTTCTTTTTGTGGCGTGGGCGGCCAAATGCCTCCCTGAGAATAAACTTTCGCCTCTCTGGTGGGTTGGACGGGCTTTTATTCCATTCGTTTGGGAGGAAGGCTAGCGGTTCAGAAACGGCACCCCCCGTTGAGGCGGCGAACCGCAGCCATGCTAAACTTTTATTTATGTCTGCAAGCCTGTTCCGTTTCCGCAGATAATTGGTATAGACTCTGTCCTTTCTGCTGATCATTTCAGTTCAGGTTACCTGCAGCCAGAGCTGGGAATGCTCAGTTACTGAGACACGGAAAAACCATTTCCCTCTCCAGAACCCCACCTTCCCAACACACTCGCACACAGAAGTGGACCCTCCAAGGCCAGACCTTCACTTAAGTACCCTTTTCACATCATTCCAGCCAGGCACGTCTGGAAACATAGGCACACCTATGAGCCTTTGGCAATTGAGCCAGCTGTTAGAGCAATTTACCAGACATCAATTTTTACTAAGCTTGATTGATGGGCTTCACTGTGGGAAGTGTCTTGGACAGCCTGCACTGTCCTCTATTGTCTCATCCTGACATTTCCTTGTATTGGAAAACTAAGGATGCACAATGGCTTAGGAATCGTATTGATATTGGCAGATGCTTGTTTAAGTTTTTAACAGTTTTTAAACATGTGACTGATATTTCAAACCAACTGATGACACATTTAGCGTGTTCTGGAAGAGCCCTGACGAGTTGATTCCACCGCCTAACAGGACAACCACAATGACTGAAACGGGAGACAGTTCCCATATTTTAGACATGTTTTCCGTATGAGCTTTCAAAACCAACAGCCACAACGGTGTTTGAATTACAGGGAGGCAGGACAAGCCTAGCTCCCTCAAGACTTGATCTCCTCCTTTGAAAACAACAGTATTTGAAGTTTGGGTGCTCATGGATACTGAAAATGAACCGTTATCTTATGTTTTTCTGCCCTTGCTGTTCTACAAAAATGCACAAGTGATGCTCGTTGATCATGAAATGAAGGTGCCCCTGAAGTTTACCATATGAGCTTATTTGTTTCTTGTGGTCTAGTTTATCTGTCTAATGCAGATTAGCACACTCGTGTTCGTGTAGGTTACTATGCTAAAACGTCTTAGATTTCTTCATTTTACTGCATTTACAATGTACATCTATACAAATAAGTATGTTTCTCTGTAATACTAATCCAGGTAGTCCTTGTTTTATAAATGCGTATATTTCGGCATATATATGGACAAAAGTATGTGGACACATGACCATCACATCTGAGTTTTTTGTGACATCCCATTCCAAAATCATGACCATTAATATGGAGTTTGCCACTCTACACGCACCTTTTTTTGGAGCTATAACAGCCTCCACTCTTGTTTTCCACAAGATTTTGGAATGTTTTTGGGAGTTTGTGCCCCTTCAGTCAAAAGAGCATTTGGCCTGGCTCACAATTGATTTGTCCCAAAGTGGTTCAGTAGGGTTATGGTGAGGGCTCTGTGCAGACCACTGCAGTTCCTCCACACCAAAGATCGGGTGTATTAGATTAAGGTTGGAGCCAAATTCTTTTGGGTGGTAGATCTCCAGGACCAAGATTGGACACACATGGTCCAAAATATCTTTGTATACTGCTGCATTAACATTGTCCTTTGCTGGAACTAAGGGGCCCAAACCCTGAAAAACAGCCTCAGCCCATTATCCCTCTTCCACTAAACTTTACTGTTATTGTAAAGGTAGCGTTCTCCTGGTATCCACCAAACCCAGACGCAAACCGTGTTTCCACTGCTACAGAGTCCAGTGGTGATGCTTGGCATTGCATATAGTGATCTTAGGCTTCTGTGCACCTGCATAACCATGGAAACCCATTTCATGAAGCCCCTGACAAACGGTTATTGTGCTGATGTTGCTTCCAGAGGCAGTTTGGAACTAGTAGTGAGGTGAGGCAACAGAGGATGAGCGCTTCAGCACTCGGCCCACGCTCTGCGAGTTTGCTTGGTTTGCAGCTCTGTGGCTGAGCTGTTGTTGCTCTTAGAAGCTTCCTTTTCAGCAGTAGCACTTACATTTAAATCTAGCAGGGCGGAAGTTTCATGAACTGACTTATGGCAAAGGCGTCATCCTTTGAACGGCCCATGCTTAAAGCTACTCTTCAGTCCGACCCATTCTACTGCCAACATTTGTCTACACAGATTGCACGGCTATGTGCTTGATTTCATACCACTGTTAGCGATGAGTGTGGCTGAAATATTAGATATCGTGGCAAAATCTCTGTATCTGTGCATCCCTAAGAAAACCCTTTCATCTGGACTCCATAAGCAGTACCTTCAACAGGTTTCAAAGTGTATTCTGCATTTAGTGCTTGCAGGTCTAACTGGGTCTGGGACAGGAATTAGGATGAACCTTCTCGTAAAGACTCCATGTGGTCCGACATCTGTGACACAGCCTCATCTCCACCAAAGAGTCACGAATGGTTAAATTACAGCATTGTCTCACTTAAGTGTACAGATTTAAAGACTGTTAAAAGGTTTCTTGTCCCACAGGAAGGCTTGCCTTTGTGTTGCTTGGAGCACTAACTGGGGCTTGTTAAGGTGTTTTGTTTTTTTTTTCTTCAGTGCCCTTAAAAAGTGGGTTTAATGTAAAAGCCCATTGCCCTTAGGGTGGAATGTTAACCCAGATGTTTTCTCTTGCATGGAGGATTAATTGGCCTCCTTCTCTTTCTCTCTTTTCTGTCACGTTGTTGTTTATTGAAAGGTATCCCTGTGTCATAAGGGAGCACTGGCCATTGCTGGCCACTGCGTGTGAGGATGGCCTTAGCCAAGTCGCTCATGATGCTATTTATATGGACAATGCAAGAAGTAGCCAGCAACTGAGCCGTTGATCTAGGATAGTGCAATGCTTTTTCTGAAACTGTGCCCTTCCTTAAATACCTATAGAAGCTAGCCAGTCACATACATAAGGTAAACTAGCAGTTGGGCTGAATTTGCACAGTGAAAGTGAATCGTTGATCCCACCACATGACAGGACTGTGGCTGAAAGGGGGGCGATTCTGCAGCAGGCGTTCACCCTGAGCCTTACATTCAGGTTATGTTCACCATAGAAACTACCAAAACCAACCACCACATCAGTGTGATTGACTCACGGAGAGCCTGGAAGAGCTCCGCTCCCCCAAGACTTCAGCTCCATCTATTTAGGGGGTTGCAGATATTAAAACTTAACCATTATCTTATTTGTAACAATATCCTGTCGTATGCCAAATATTGGTGACATTTTATGTTTGATGTTTTATTTTTTAAATGTTCAACTCAAATATATTGAAGTTGTGCACTAAAATGAGCAGAAAGTGCCCTATTCAGGTTCCCTATAGAGGACATAGAGGAAGTTGACAAATCATGTCATTTGACCAGGTGTGTTTAAACTTTACACAGCTGTATTTCTGCTCTGGCTCGTCTGAAACAAGTAAAGCTCGTTGTGCATGAAATAAGATGCATGCGACTAAATGTTCTCCCATGTGAGCTTGATTGTGACTTTCTGTTTTTTCTGCATAAAGGCAGGAAAACATTAACGCTCATATTGTTTGTTGCTGTTCGATGGTCAGTCATATGGTTAAGATTTGCTTGTTGCCTTTGAATTTCGTTTCGTGACTATAGCACCGGGCCTTTGTGCAGGACTCTGCATGCACGTGACTGTTGTGCTACATTCACTACATGAATGGTCTTTTCAGTAGATGCTTTCTTTCTCCTGCTAAAACTACTTTTATTCGTACTCGAGTAATTGCTATTTTAAAGTAAGGGTCCCTGAGCTTGATTGCAGTGTTTGGCTGCTGCATATGTGACCCAACAATGGGAAAGACTCAGTGGGACAAAGACAAAGCCCTGATCCGTTACACCAAATCTGATAACAAACGGATTAGTCGGAATTCCTTTGCCTTTGCAGTAATTAAGAGTTGTGCTGCTGTTTTGGGGTGCTTAACTCTAGAGTGCGATGGAGTAGGACGGGAGGAAGTGAGATGGTTATCTGCTCTCGTAACTCTCTCTACACCGCTGTTGGGTGAAAAATGAAATGCAGTGGTATGTAACACAGCACCAATTACAGGTTATTAGAGCTGGGTGATGGATTTCTTCGGCTGGGCGGGGGGTTGCGCAGTGGTGGTGTTTGTAGCGAGAGCTGGGTAACGTGGTGAGAGTGAGGACTGAGTTGGTAGAACAATAACAAGCAAGAAAGAGGGGTGGCATTCATCATGGTTAACGACCTGTTGCACCCCCGACCCCCAACCTCTGCAGCCTCTCATCACTACCCCCACGTCAAGAAAGAATGACTCCGGTCCCTGTAATCTGCCTCGGCCATGCCTGTAATTAGCGTATTCATACTGTGAGGACAGCCGGGGCGAGGGGCTGAGAGAGTTTGGAGAGGAGGGGTTAAAGCAAGCCTGATAGGTGCCTTCGGGGAACGGCATCTGGTTTGGAGAAAGCTATGCGTGAAGGTGGCAGGCATCTTCGGCTGATTGGTGGGAGAGCTTCATCCCGTGCAATGGAACCTGAATCTACAAAGGCTTTGCGCAAAGGATGCCCAGCTGTTAGGAACCTGTTGCTAGAGGCAACAACACCTACACACATGGTTCTTTAGTAAAGGCAGTGGTTAAATGGTTCTT